TAAAAATAACCAATATCACAATTACTTCATGACTGCTAGAGAATATAATTCATTATTTCTACTTTCAAGAATGTTGTCACTTATACAAATATAACAATTGTTAAGATGGAAGATTTTTGCAATTTGGTACTTGGGTGAGGAATTGATAAAATACGGCACTTAAGCATTAATGTTTCTCTTTCTAGAATTCTTTCTCATATGGAACTTTTCTGGAATAGCACTATAGGAATTGCATTGTGGTCTAGATGCAGTACAAACATCTTTTATCTATGCAGCCAAATATGGTATTGTTTGTACTTGAAGAAAGACCACAATGCAACATGATTTTGTATTTCAGAAAACGTCTGAATCTTCACCTGTTGAGCGACGTAAGCAATAGAACCTCCTATAGCAACTCGACCACGAGTTTTACGCATCTGAAAGATATATAGTCGACRTGAAGACTTTTGAAATCTATTTCATTTCAACGCTAAAACATGATCAAATGGAAACAAWAGGAACAGGAACAAAGACTTCAAAGCCAATTTATAGTCATCACRTCAAACAAACCTGGGCTAGAATGCACTGAAGAAGAGAGCTTTTACCACTGCCAACACTGCCACAAATTCCTATTAATTTTCCCTGATWAAAACAAGAGTAGTARTGGTAAARACAATGAGAAAAGTGCAGGGGTTCTCTTGCGCTTTTAGATAYTGTACCTTTTTAACTTTAAGATCGATGTCATATAAAGTGGGGACTAAGACAGTCTTCATCTTCATGGGTGGACCTGGTCGACCTCCGCCAGGTCGACCGCCACCTGGTCGACCCMCTGCAGGCCGACCACCTCCAGAATTAGGTGGTTTTTGTTTGGCTTTGCCATTTGCAGCAGAAGAATCTTAAGTCATCAAAATGGATAGATGAGGTACAAAACAAATGTTTCTTAAAATTATAAGTACAATAGACTTRAGAAGAGAGTATATTTACTTGTGTTTGCAAATACCTTTAGCAGTGTTTTCATTCTCGTCACCAGCATCCTGGTCTTGYTTATCGTGTTCCGACTCGACCTACGCATCAGTTGTGATGAATCAGTGAAATTCTTGTAAAAACAGCTTATTTACGAATATAACTGATAAGATGATCATAAACTATGATATTTATAATTGGTGTACCTTATCCCATGCAAAATCTGCGTTTTCTATTAACAATGTCATGTTAGGATCATCGGGTTTATCAAGAAAAGGCACAAGCTCTTCCATCTCCAGTAACGCCTAATAATGTAAAGCTTTATTGTAAATTCT